ACTATTTTCGTGTGTTCTGGAACATCAATTAGCGAGATAGTAAAGAAACACGGGATTTGCGTGAAAATACTAGGGAATATGTCATATCTTTCACCAGATTTAAGGGAAGTTATGGAAAAGGCGGTTGAAACTACCAAAGACAATATTGGGTAGGATGCTTTAATGTTCAAGAGATACGCAACTCGTTGCACATGAATCCCATTTACAAGAAAAAAATTTTGTTTTATATCAGCCCGACCTTGAACGTGTGTTTTCCATACACTTCTAGAGATGAATTAACAACTTCCATCAAGAAAATTGTGAAGATGGTGGAGAAAGATCAGTTGAAAATTAAGTACGGGTCTGCTCTCCGCGATATCATTGGTGACATGAACGAACTAACTCAATAAGCATATCGATTTCAAAGGGACATTGACGAGAACTTGATAGAGCAGAACTTATTCACGCACGGGAGTCCACCGTTGGAGGTTCTAATCCGCACTTCCGGTGAAATTCGCTTGAGCGACTTCTTGCTTTGGCAGGTCAGTGTCCTGATCAATCTCTTCTTTGGCGACAAAATTAATAACATATGATTGTGAATTTAGTGCCATCAAAATTGTTACATCTACTTTGTCAAATGTTACTGGCCGGAATTTTCGTTTTGGGAAATGTTGCCGATTATCCTTGATTATCAAGTTAACTATGAATCAATCAAGGTATATTTACTGTTTTGTTGAGGATATCTTGATTCGACTAGATCCTTTCTCCATCACAATTACCAATACCCTTTTTATCACAGGAAAAGCGAGAAAAGTCATGGCATCATCTCTCTAGATTATATAATGACATCGATTAGGTTAATGTAAAAAAAAAATTATTTTATTCAACAATAGAACGCGGCATAGGCGAAACAATTGAACTGTTAATTTAGAATAAATTTAAGCGGTAGAAAAATCGCCGTCCGTTATTTAATTCGTATCAATAGTTTCGCGAATAAGCGATAATTCCTTTACCTATGTGAAAATGCTATATTTGCTACTGTAAGGTCAAATTAAAATGATTTTTAAAATAATTAGTCGTATTTTGTAAATAATGGTGTTCATTTGACGTTTTGCATTAATCAAGTGTATGAGTAAGGGATATTTGTAATCAAAGAGTCATTATTGAAATTCATGAAAAATAAGTTGTCCAAAATTTTACATCATCAATTATCTAACTCTGAAATTATTTCGACTCTCATCATCTTCTTTATCACCTTGGTATCCTGAATCGTAATCAGTCTCTTTATTGTTCGATCTTGCAATAGCACCACCACGTCTGGTAACTGTGGAAAAGGGCTGATCTTTTGGTAAACCTGTTAACGCCTCAACCCTGAACCCTTCACTCGATTGTCCCATACTAATTGAATTTGCCCTACTACGTGCTCTCGAGCTTGTTCCACTCCAACTACTTGTTCTACTACGACCAGATATACTACCATTGTTCTTCTCGAGAAAGAATAACACATCATCAAATTCCAACGTGTCTCCTTGCTTTTCCCAGCTAAACACCTTATCATCCAACCAATCAATTGGTGATTGAAATATGCTCTTTGGCGGAACTTGTGATGATGCCGCCTGCTCTATGCGTTCGGCATCAAAATCAGGATAGATTGTCGGTGCTAATTCGTTGATTAAATTGGTGAGATCTTTAGAAAGTTGCTCGCGAACATTGCGCAAGTTTATGATATTTGGTCTGGTCCACGGAAGCAATGACAAAAATAGTGGTCTAATTGACCTGAAGAAAACATATATTAGTAAAATAACTCGGATTGCTTTTTTGGCCGAGATGGAGACTCACTTGTAAATGTCGACGCCACTTTCGACAAATCGAATAGTCATGTAGCTTCCTGTAACCAACGTACAGAAGGTCGATATCGGTGCAAATACCTTCCATTTCAGTATCCATCTATTCCTAAATGATATGAGCACCACAATGAATGTATAAAATCCATAGAGGAGTGGAGTAACTACTAAGGCAACAAGGAGTTTCCATGTTGCAAGTACATCACGACCCGCCACTTTAACTGAAGAGCCACGAACAGCTTCTAATGAAACATTCAAAAGATATGTCAAAGATAGGAGTTTGTAAGTGTAAATGAGTATTGATGATCACCTTCGGCTTTTTTTGCACTCACTCTACGCGCAATTATTACAAGAGGCAGATTTAACACGAATCTGAGGGTCGTCAACTTTCATATTTAGTATGTGTGTCTGATACACACACGAAAAAAACGTTACGATATTTAGCCTACCCGGGCAACCCAAGAATACTCCATGTGGTTAATAACATGACTCGGTATAACAATAGACCTGCGGCTCTTGGGCCACCTGTCGCCGATTTGTTAACCTGATGATCCTTCAAATCATAATATTTCAATAACTTGTTGTATGCCATAACCCTATTGCGCATTCCTTGCACCCTGGAATCATTCTTGAAGTACTCATAGCCAGCGATAAACCGTCGGTTCAACTCTACAATTTGAGAAATCGGAAGTTTCCTATGGGCTGGTTTGTACAAACGTCTCCCAGCTTGGATGAACTAAACGTAAAATAAGACGATCAGTAAATAGCATGTAACTTAATTATATAATTAATGCGCTAAGATCAACTCCCAACCATTAATGTTTCGTAATCCGGTGTATTCACGGTAACTGCTCTTAACCCATTGAGAATGATTTCCAATAATTTTGAGCATGCTTCTCTTTTCGACGGGCCGCCTTGTTTATATTTCTCCACGAGTTCAGGTGATACGGAAATCGGGGAGCCAAACTCAATTACAGCCTTGGAACGGAAAGAATGTGCTTGGAAGTAATTTAAACCTTCATAATTTAAAAGGTAAACATATGTCAAAATAATATAAACGAGAATTAAAAAAATCAGACAAATAAAAAAAGTTCTGAACTTGCCACATGGAACAATCCTAACATTAAGTTGCGGGTTTGCGGCAAGCGCACCTAAAGCCATTATCGTAACCCCAGCTAGCATAGCAGAAATAACGCATTTAAATGATGATCACCAAATCAATAATTCCAAGAATTTCATATATACCTTTTAGAGGTAGTATCTCTGTTCGATCGTGACTTCCACCCTCCGGGAATATACCAATACATTCCCCTGCATTTAACCTTTCAAATATGACCTGATAGACAAAACTCTGGTCAACTTGAGGAATGCATTTGTAAGAAGTTCCCTCTGGATTTGTGAGCATCTCCAAAGCCTTTAGATCCCTAAATTCGCTTTTGACCAATAATTCTGTATCTGATATAATCTCTATGACCTCCGATGATCCGCGATCTTTAGGAAGACAAATTTGCGAGCCTACTTTTAAATCACGTGTAAAGGCAGTGTTTATACCAGTAATACGAGTGGGATCTGTTTTTCGATTAAGCAATTGAATGCGTCCCGTCCCAGGTTTTGCTAAATCTTGAGGACGAATGATAGGAACTATTCAAATTTATTAAGCTATAGTTAACCGATCATGATAATAATATACGCATTTCTCGATTGTGCTATTACTCACTTGCATTAAGAAGTCGCGCGATAGTTCCTATGTACTTTCGTTGCATGGATTTTTCAGCAATTAAGAATGAAACACGACGTTGACAGTGTCTCATCAAAATTAATGGATCAACGAACTACACATAATAAGGAAAACAAAAACTTAATAATAAAGATAAGCATGATTTTAACTTCTCGAAAATTATTTGATTCAAGCTCATTTGTTTTCCGCGATATCAAATGTCAACTTTTGTATTCCCATGACAGCATTGTCGAAAGAAATTGAGAATTACTTGACTCATCCTTATAGTTGATTAGGATTCCATACAATCCTCTGACACATGATTTCTCTTGAATGGGCAATTTTCGAACTTCTCTTGCCTTTACCTGATTTGCGTGAGGTGCAGCAACAAATATAATTGGGCCTTCCCTCGGAATCCTGTGAGATCCACGAGGTCTAATCTCACGAAAAAATACATCCAAAATTACGCTAAAAATATTAACAGCAACATCATAAGTTTGGAAAGTCATTTCAAAATTCCAGGGTATTTGAAGTGAAAAGACGATTTAGTGAACACGTTACGTGGGAAAATGAACTTATTACGTAATAATAAAACAATATGGATATAATAAATCAGGTAAAACCAGTTCATCATTTGACATTTGACTCTTTTTTAATTAACATTATACACACCCCTACCAAAAATTACCGGACGTTGATCAAATTACTTAATAAAACATATTAAAAATCAAGATTTTCATTCTATATTAAAGTTTTTAATTTTATTAACAAAGATTTATAAATAATACATAAAAACAAAGTCATTCAATTTAGTTTGATATATATTTAATACAGAATTTTTTAAGCTTTCTATAAAAATCTACATATTTATAGAATCAATCAAAAAAATTTTTTATATGCATTTTAAAAATTTATATATAAAAAATGCAAATCTATTACTTTATAATATAATGTGATTTATAGAAAAACTCTTTCCCACTCCCCCTTTCTACGCTTGAAAATTTCCTTTTTAGGAAATTCTTGAGTTGTTTACTTTTTTTTTGTCTTCTCTTTTTCCTTCTCTTTATGTCCCTTCCCCATACCTCTTTATTTCCCTTCCCCTATCTTCTCCTCTCTCTTCTATATACTCTCTTCTTTTACTTTTACTCCTCCCTTCCCTTTTCTCCTTTTTTTTCTGCCGAAGCTAGGTTTTTTCCTTTTCCCTGAAGGTTTTCCTCCTTAGGCCTTTCTCTTTTTTGAAAACTTTGTCTCCATAATATCACTCTTCTGGCCAGTGGATCCTTTTCTCTCAGGAATCATATAAGAAGTAGCAAGGTTTCCGCAGAATGTGGGCTATGGAAAGTTTTTCCCTCCATGGCTCCTCAAAAAAAGGACGGACGGTTTACCCCCTCCAAAAGATCAACATGGCCATCATTACCTAATCCGGTGTTGTTTACTCATTGATGGTTAGACTAGATACATCTAAAAAACTGGTGTACAACTATTATTATCCGAAAGTATCCAAGGAGTTGTGCCCCACAGTATTCAGAAAGATATGGCAGCCAATGCCAATGCAACTAACAGTAAGCTAGGTTAGTCTGCAGATGTCATGCTGGTGATTGAAGAACCTAGTAGGATAATACATAAAGACCAGGGATTCTAGTTACCCCTGTAACACGAGCTGGTGATGACAACGAAAGTTTTTCACCTACTCTTCCAACAATGTAGACCTTATTGTACAAGGTCAGATATCAGCATCTTTAAGAAATCCAAAACCAAACTTCACTCATGGAACACTCTGCTACACTTGAGAAATGGATATGCCAAATCTTTTTCATAACTTGGAGGCAAACCTGTATAAAGTGGCTGCAGCACCTTCATGTGAAAAGGTAATCACAAACAAAAAATTTCTCAACACTACTCCATCTGCTGAACATCAAGCCACATTTGAGAAGCAAGCATACCAGTCCTACTCATAACTTGAAGGCAAACCTGTATAAAGTGGCTGCAGCACCTTTATATGATTAGGCATTCAAATTAATTTCTAGGTAGCTAGATGTCATTTAAGACCATAATATAGGTTTTAAATATTTTTTTTTACTGTATTTCTTGAATGGTACCAAGGAGCTTAGGGGTGGCCTTTATAGGTCCTGCATTTAACTCTTCCTAGCAAAGAGAGATGTATATCATACTTCTCATGTTATAAATCTTGTAACTTACAAGTTTAAAATTATAATAATAAACGATAGCCATTTGCTCCTTCAAAAAAAAAAAAAAAGATTTATATTTAATTTTTTTATATTTTTTAAATTAATATTTATTAAATAATAATACAATTTTTATTTTTTTAA